GCGCACTAACCGCCAAGACAAATTCCTTGTATGTTTGACATATTTTGGCCAATAAATGTTTCCTGATTCCTGATTCCTGATTCCTGAAGTTGTTAGGGTCCCTATTTGCTTATTAGTTTTCCCCCAGTCTTTGCTTTGTTGTTTTTTCAACCTAGAGTTTCCAACCTTGTGTTCCGCCTCCGGCCCTGCGCCTCTCCCAAGTGCTTAGCTGTGGCTCATTCCGGGGATCACTAGTGACGGGCATAAAGGCTCCTTCGTTCAGAGGCTCGTCGTCGTCAGTCAGTCCCAGTACCCAAGCTGGTCTCAGCTGCCGTTGAAAAAGAGAAGTAGCAGCTAACCAGTTTTGCATATTTTGTTGTTGTTTTTTCCCCTGCAGTATCAGACTCACAGAGTACCACGGAGTACACGTGACTCGTTTGAATTGGACTCTGATTATGGTGTCGGGCCTCGGGTTTCCACACCAGACCCTGCTTGATCTGCCCCAGACAGCAAGACGTCGCTGGAGTTTCCCTCCCGACTCCAGTTGAGCCAGAGGAGCGCTTTGTTTTCCTTTTCGCCTTGTTTGTTTTTTGTGGAAAATAAAATCATTTTGGCTGTAAATCCAAACTGCTGTGCGTGTGCATTTGGCTCCACCAACTACACCCCTCTAACAGAAGTATCAGAGTGGTCGAAATAAAGTGAAACTCAGAGCCATGACATGATGCTCTTTACAATTGCATGTAAACTTTTGACCAAAACTGTATGTAAGTCATTGGCCTGAAAAGGGCCTTTATTTTACCCTGGGAGTATTTTCAATATATATTGAATGACCATCGAGTCATGTGAACCATGAATTGATTACGTAGCAGAGACCCCGGCAAAGGAGAGCTAATAATGTTTATAATGTCAGTTCAAAGTGGTGCAGCTCTCGCATGGAGGTTTAATTTAATTGCGTCGAGATGTGTTCAGCTCCATTCAGTAAAATACTCAATGAAATTACATTGCAACATTTTCATGATGGTGTTGAGAAACTTGTATGGAATGATTCTGTTAAGGTTTTTCTTTGAATAAAAAGTACATCTTTGATACGCTAAACATTTCAATGGTGTATTATGCCACTAACCACTATATGAGATGAAAACAATAGGAAATTGTTGATGCTTATACCAAAAATAGTTGATGAATTATTGATTTGATATAGGCCTATTGATTATATTATGGTTAGCAGTTGAATATGTCATATCGTAAGTTTCATATTATATTTATAAAAGCTAAACCATTTGGTATCAATTGATTTTTCTGGTCCAAAAGAGGATGCAGAGTTTCTTCTGGCTCAGCAATGAGTAAAGTCCTAACCAAATTCTCCTAACCAAATTCTTACCCTAGTAACCTTCGCCCGTCCGACCACCTGCCCTCTTGACCCCATTCCATCACATCTTCTACAATCTATCGCACCAGACCTTCTTCCGTTCCTCACCTGTCTCATCAACAACGCTCTGTTATCTGGCTGTTTTCCCAATTCTCTGTAGGAGGCAAGAGTCAACCCCCCCCTGAAGAAACCTACCCTCAACCCTTCTGAAGAAAACAACTAAAGACCGGTCTCTCTTCTTCTCTTTTTGTCCAAAACCCTTGAACGTGCTATCTTTAATCATCTCTCCTCTTATCTCCACTGTAACAACCTCCTTGACCCCCACCAGTCAGGTTTCAAGGCAGGCCACTCCACAGAGACTGCTCTCCTTGCTGTCTCAGAGCAACTCCACACTGCTAGAGCTACCTCTCTCTCCTCTGTCCTCATCCTTCTGGACCTCTCTGCAGAGCCTGTGACACAGAGCAGAGCAGAGCTCTGCAGAGAGTTCCTGAAGGGAGGAAATAAGGATCACCAGATCCTTATTTCCTCCCTTCAGTAACTTGGTGTCACAGGCTCTGCTCTCTCCCTTCTCTCGTCCTACCTCGACGGCCGCACCTACCGGGTAACCTGGCGAGGATCTGTGTCGGAACCTTGTCCTCTTACTACTGGAGTTCCTCAGGGTTCCGTGCTGGGTCCCCTCCTGTTTTCTCTTTACACCAACTCTCTTGGCGCTATCATTCGCTCGCATGGCTTGTCTCACCACAGCTATGCCGATGACACCCAACTAATTCTCTCCTTCCCTCACTCGGACACCCAGGTGGCGGCTCGGATCTCTGCCTGTCTAACTGACATCTCTCAGTGGATGTCCGCCCACCATCTGAAAATCAACCCCGACAAGACTGAACTGCTTCTCTTTCCCGGAAAAGATTTGCTTACCCAGGACCTGACAGTCAACTTTGGAAACTCCGTACTAACGGCCACTTTGACCGCTAAGAACCTCGGCGTCAAACTCGACAGCCAACTCTCCCTGACTCCCAACATCACCGCGATCCTGTAGATACACGCTCTACAACATCAGGAGAATACGTCCCCTTCTCACTCAGAAGGCAGCCCAGGTACTGATTCAGGCTCTTGTCATCTCCCGCCTGGACTACTGCAACTCCCTCCTGGCTGGTCTCCCTGCCACCGCCATTCGACCTCTGCAGCTCATTCAGAATGCAGCAGCTCGACTGTCTTCAACCTTCCTTCCAAAATTTTCCCACACTACTACACTCCTCCGCTCTCTTCACTGGCTACCGGTGGCCGCCCGCATCCAGTTCAAAACATTGGTGCTCACGTACCATGCTGTGAATGGATCAGGTCCAGCTTACATTCAGGACATGGTCAAACCCTACATCCCAACCCGCACTCTCCGCTCTGCATCTGCAAAACTTCTCGTCCCTCCCTCACTGAGAGCAAAACACTCGACTAGATCACGACTCTTTGCTATCCTTGCGCCGAAATGGTGGAACGAGCTCTCTGAAGACACCAGGACCGCAGAGAGCCTTCACATCTTCCGCCGCAAACTAAAGACACACCTCTTCAGACTCTACCTCGACTAAAAACTAACAAATTTTAGCACTTACATTGTACTTGTAACGTCACTCATCTATAGCAAATTGTAAATTAGCTTATTTGAGGAAATTGCACTTTCTTGTTTCTTGTTCTCCTGAGTTTGTACCCTATGGTTGAATGCACTTATTGTACGTCGCTTTGGATAAAAGCGTCCGCTAAATGTAATGTAATGTAATGTCTCCCAGGTCTTCAAACTGCTGCAGCTTATGCTCACGATACCGGCTACCAGTACATCAGCAGAGCGCTCATCTTCCTGTCTAAAGAGGATCAAAACTGATCTGAGAAACACATGTGGACAGGGAAGACTTGTGAACTTGGCCAAGATATCCATTGACTCTGTTGTTGTGGAGGACCTAAAGGCCAGTGGGAAGTTCTACGACATGGTCATTGATCACTTTGCCACCATGAGAGAAAGGAGAACGGCCTTCCTCTTCAAATAGGGTGAGAAAAACGCATTTGTTTCCTTGTGCGCAGCTTAATAGTTACTGAACTGCCCAATAAGCGATGTGAGTATAGTCCTTATTGAGTCTTGCTTGCGTTGATTAAGCCACGCCGCCTGCCAAGGGCTCCTTTTAGAATAACTTATTTTCCCCGTTAAGATGGTTCAGCTACTGTAGAGAAAAGCAGTAGGGCCGAGATCCTCCTTGTGGCAGTGGCAAGTTGAGTGGCAACTCTATGGCAGTCAGCAGCAATCGCCAGTAAATCAGTCGCAAGTCCGCGGCCGGCGTCACAATGGCACGCTGGGTGGGAGGAGGTGGAAGTTTTCCCAGAAACGACTGTTATTTGTACGACAGGTCAGCTGCCGTAAATAAGTTTATTTTATTTTATTTGAGACACGTGAGCCCCCGTCTTCTTATTGCAGAGGCTAATTTTAGGTTTGGACCGGCGGGTTCCGTGTGGGGGGTAGGAGGGCTCACGTGTCTCAAATAATATACAGGGCTCTCAAGTTTGATGCCACTCACTTGCCACTGCCACAAGGAGGATCTCGCTGTCACTCGAGAAAAGGGCGCCGTCTCTCGGTCTTTAATCTCATGAAGTGCTCGGCCAGAACGACAGCTTTGTTTCTCCGACGCGCCCTGAAACAAGCTCCATATCTCGCGCGCTTGAGCGCCGCTCAGCATCTCGCCGTCGTAGACCGAGCTTTGGCATGTTTGGCAGAGTGCCTTGAGCGCCGTGTACAACCAGTATGGATCAAACGATTAACCAGTCTGTTAATTAATGTTTCACACAACTAATGTGCCGCATCATACATGTTTTTAAATTAATTTCAAACTTTTCAAAATTGAAAATTAAAAACTTTTTATTTATTTATTGTAAATGACCTCTCGCGGCCCACCTGCAGTACCTTCGTGGCCCACACTTTGGGAGTCAAGCAGAATGTGTTACACCTGCTTACTCCCCCCATAGCTGAGCCAAAAGAAACTCCTTTTGTGGATCCTCTTGTGGACCAGAAAAAGCAATTGAGCTTTATTTGTATATGCAAATATCGTAATGTGAAACTTATGACGTATTCACAACTTTTAATCAGAATATAGTCAACAAGTCTATAGCAAATCAACTAATTAATCTATATCAACTATATCTAGTATAAGCATCAACTATTTACTATTTCTTTGTTCTCTATAGTGGTTATTGGCATAATACACCATTTGAAATGTTTGTGTTTTACTTTTTATTCAAAGAAAACCTTACAGTACAGATGTTTTGTCTACAATAGATCAATATCAACTAGAAAGCATCAATACCGTGTTGCATATGTTTCTACTGAATACAATAGCCAATAGCAATCAGCACTAAAGTTCTTTCTCACACTAAGATTTTAATACTGTAATGTAACTAATTCATGGTTCACATTTCAGACATATTGAAACAATAAAATGAATGCCCTTTTCGGGCCGATATAATGACTCACTTATACTGTGCATTACTTACATAAAATCATATAATTCTGAATACCTTAATTTCTATTAAAATAGTTTAATATGATAATAAAAGATAGTTTTGTTTATGGATTCAATATATTCATCCTGTATATATGCATTTTGTCACATAATTCGAAAGCACAATCTATTCCATTTTTATGTTTTTCTTTCACATTTTGAAGATGCTTGCCTTGTTTTTAAGGCTGTACATGTGCTTGAGGTTTTTTACATATAATCAGTTCATAATAAAGTGGCAGGGTAACAAGGGAAAGTATCAGAGGGATAGTGTTGTAAAATACAGCTGTACCAGGTTATTAATCTGCCCGGGGAATCAAATTGACCTTTTGCTTTGGCCCAATAAGTTGAGGTGAAAAGGGAAATCCTGATTTATTTTGCACCATGAATAAAATTCTTCATATTGTTGTTCAGGCTAAAAGTTTAAATTTACACCCATGCAGCGTGTCTCTAAAGCATGTTGGTCCGATAGGAACCAGACTTCAGTATCTGAAGTGTAACAATTAACCTAATTGATTTTCTGAACCAGGGGTAGAGAATGGCATAGATCAGAGGATTGAGACAGGAGTTAAACTGAGTCAACCATATTACAATGGTTAAAGATGAGGTTGTGTACACGTTAATTTGGGATGTTAGAACAAGACAATAATATGGACAAATGCATATCATAAACACAACTACAACAACACCAAGATTCCTGGCTGCTTTCATTTCAGACTTTTTAACGGCTACTTTCGTTGTCACAACTGCAATGTGAGACCGCATGGCACGAGCCTGATACACAACCACCGCAAATATTCTAATATATAGAATGACAACAACAGTAATGGGAAAAATGAATGTAACAATTAGATCAAGAAGACTAGCGATGTAGTTCATGTCAATGACACACTCTCCTATGCAGGAGTTATACCTGCCTGGATGTTGCAGGTTATTCTTCATCAGCAGACTGTAAATTAAAGCAGCAAACATCCAACACAGACAAACACAGACTTGAACTCTTCTTGGTTTGACTTTGGTGAAGTAATGCAGAGGATAACAAATAGCCACATATCGATCCACTGATATGAGCACCATGGTTCCAATTGAGGACGTTATAATAATAGATAATAGAATCAACCAAAGAGAACACATGAGATCACCGAGTAACCAGCAGCCGTCTATTATCATTATTTGAAAGATCATGAAGAGACCGACGAAGAAATCGGAGACGGCCAGAGAGAGGAGGAGGAGGTTGGTGGGGGTCTGGAGCTGCCTGGAGGGAAACAAATAATGATATTCGAATCAATACTTATGGGATCATGGCATCTATCAGATATAAATAAACAATACAATAAAAAGGAATTACCAAAATCTACAAATTTGTAACACAGGTTTTTATCTACCACTTTCACAAATAAATGAAATATGTCATTACTCGAAGTGGGAGATGGAGATGATGACCAGCAGGTTGAGAGCTACAGTGAGCAGAGAGATGGAGGACAACAAAATATAAATCAACATTGCTTCTAAGTGAGGACGAATTGGCTTTCTGCAGGAGGTGTTGATGAGTTGTGGAAAGCAAAGTTCAGTTCCCACCAAGGTTTCCATCACCGGAGAAGAGAAGCTGCAGAACAGCTTCAGCTGACTGGCCAAAGCTTCTTGTCTTACAACTGATTTGTCTCTTTACTTTGGGTCCACCCCTCCTACTGCATCACCTCTGATGTTGTTTGTGTCTCCATGGAGAACAATAGATTCCGTGCTCATCTTCCTTCCCGCTGGAGACTATGATGTGTTTCAGTGTTAATTTCGACGACGAAAACTATGACAAGAAATACTCGTTAACGACCTTTGTTCCATGACTAAGACGAGACTAAGACGTGACGAAAACGATCTTAAAAAATAAAAACTGTGACTAAATCTATTCTAACTTTCGTGAAAGAGACAAGACGAAAATGTTGGTGGTTGACGAAGTCACAATAATATTTTCACCCTAAATTCGCATGCACCCAACAGACAGGCAAATAACGGCCCCGTACGGCGGATATTAATCATCATGATGACATCATCCACGAACCCTCTCGTGACATCCGGCCCAGTGTGTGGAGTTTTGCTCGCAGGTCCAGGACGTACTGGATCTCATTCTTGCAGGGGCCCAGACCTTCCTCCCAGTTTTCTTTAATCAGGTCCAGCACCCCCCGCGGCGTCCTGCCAAACAAAAGTTCAAAGGGAGAAAATCCCGTGGAGGCCTGGGGAACCTCCCGCACTGCAAACAACAGAGGGTGAAGCCAGTGGTCCCAATTACGTTCATCGTCGCTAATAAATTTACGGATCATGGACTTCAGAGTCTTATTCATGTGTTCCACCAGCCCATCCGTCTGCGGGTGGTACACGCTCGTACGAATGGACTTAGTTCCCAGTAACCCGTAAAGTTCTCTCAGTGTGCGCGTCATGAACGAGGTGCCCTGGTCAGTCAGAATCTCCTTAGGGATTCCAACTCGGGAGATGACCTGAAACAGAGCCTGCGCAACGCTCTTTGCAGAGATATTGCGCAACGGCACTGCCTCCGGATACCGCGTTGTGTAATCCACGAGAACTAACACAAAGCGATATCCGCGTGCGCTCCGGTGAAACGGCCCGATGAGGTCCATGCCTCGGAATAGCCGGAGCATTCACTAACTGACACTCCGGGAAGGACGTGCACCGGCGGCGCACGTCCCCCCGGATGCCTGGTCAATAAAATCGGGTCATTATCCGGTCTAGCGTTTTCTCGTATCCCATGTGACCAGCCATCATTTTATAGTGAGCTGCCTGGAAGATAATTTCCCGGCGGCTTTTCGGCACCAGCAACTGTGTGTTTTCCTGCCCCGACTCACTCTATACAGTCTGTCCCTAATCAATGAAAAGTGCGGAAATGGCTGCGCTGCGTCAGGGCGCACCAGGTGACCATCAATACGTATCACTTGGTCGTAGGCTGAGCGTAGGGTATCGTCACGAGACTGTTCGAGTGGAAAATCTTCCATGGAGCGAAACTCTGGAGCCGGCTGAGTCGATACGGGAGGCTCCGCGGGCTCCCTCTCCCCGCCGCGGCGCAGCTCCTGGTCCGGCTGACGCTGGCGAATTCTCCCAGTCACTCTGCCCGCTGGGATGCACCGCCAGATGGTCCTCCGCCAGGCTGATGGCCGCCTCCAGGGTCGTCGGACGGTGGCACCGGACCCACGCCGCTGTCCTGGCCGGGAGCCCCTCCCCGAACTGCTCCAGCACCACTCGCGTTGTGAGAATACGTGTTCAAGATTTGGAGCCTGGTCGGGGTTATCAAAAATTAAGCCGAACGACTTCTCTCGTTCTGGGAAATGTATTTGTCAGATCACAGGTCAAGTATCAGCGCTGCGTTTGCAAAGGCAGGAGCAGTTCAGGCAGCACACAGGCCGGAAGAACAACTAACTAACATCAGCGAGAACATCATGTTTCATAACCCTTGAAAGACAGAGAAGGAAAGATTTCTATTGGCCCTAAACTGGCGTAGAGGAGGACCTTCCGCCCCCCGCGCATCTAAAGATCCGGTCACATCCAATGTCTAGACTCCTGACTTAACGTAAACATCAGCGAACAGAGTGTGTATGTTGAATAGTGTTGGTGTGTCTCTAACCCCCCTTTGGCTGGTAAATCTGCTCGTTGACCCGCAGACCTTACATTCCTCAGTCAGGACATAAACTGACTCCCCATCCTGTCAGACTCGTGTCTGCCTGCTTGGCAGATCCTGCTTCCCCCCTTACCTAACTCTTAAATCAAGACAGCAAACCCCCAACTAAGCCCATGAAAAGAACTTTTGATTATCAGCGTCAACACCCCTTGGACCCTTTCAGCGCCGTCCGGCTGCAGCCACCTCGTGGCGGCATCTCTCAGCCGCTGGCCGAACGCGAACGGGCAGTCCCCGGTGGCGGCCCCATGGCCGCGGTTTGCGCCTCCCCGGTCAGGAGAGGTAAAAGCCGGACTGGCCACTCCCCCGCTGGCCAGCCGCACGCCTCCACCGCCGCCTCGAAGGTCTCCAAGAAGTGAGCCCGGCGAACGCAGCGGGCCCCTGCGTTAGCGGCGCGGCCGCGGGTTGCGCCGCCAGCTGTTCCAGCGCCCGGGCCTGTCTCTCCACCTGGGCTTGGAGCGCCCCCAGAAATTGCCGGTTCGCCTCTGCCTGCTCCTTCTGGATGGCAGGTATCCCCTGCCGGTGTCAGTCAGCCGTCATTTCCTCCCCCCGGCCAAGTTGGGTGCCACTGTAACAGGTTGGTCCTCTTGGGGGATCTCTCCTACTTAACAGCAGAATATCAACACTGATTAACATCAGATGAGGCCAATTGCCTCCCCCGGCACCGTTCCCTGAACCACTCGCTTCTCAGTCCCCCCCTGCAGCCGAGCCAAACCACGCCCGCCACCACAGGTGTATTATGCCACTAACCACTATAGAGATGAAAGCAATAGGAAATTGTTGATGGTTATACTAAATATAGTTGATGAATTATTGATTTGATATAGGCCTATTGATTATATTCTGGTTAGTAGTTGAATGTCATATCGTAAGTTTCCTATTATATTTATGAAAGCAAAACCATTTGGTATCAATCGCTTTTTCTGGTCCAAAAGAGGATGCAGAGTTTCATCTGGCTCAGCAATGAGTAAAGTGAGCAGGATTGGACAATGTAGAGTGTAACGGAAACGTTCTGTTTGACCGAGAGAAACCATTTTGTGGCTATGAAAATGAGTGAGATGAACCAAGTGAAAACTGGATTTCAGTAGATAAAAAGAAAAATGCATTATTTAAATGCTGAAATATAACAAATTGCAATATATTGCAATAGTCAAATCTAACCTGAATCATTTTATATCAGATGACAACTGTTCTACACAGCACTTGCAGTGTTGGCAGTGAGGAGGCACTCATTTCATTCTCCACATGAATTGGCTTTAAGCAGTAGCGTTTTCTTGCAGAGGCCAAGGGAAGCCAGGCTTCCTCACTTTTTTCAGAATATAACTGATTTAATCATCATTAATGATTAGTCATTTAATAAAAACACTTAACGTTTTACGTAATCCCTCTCTATTGCTTCTGTCATCTCCTCCTCGTCTCTCTTCATTCATTATCAAGCGTTTTATGATGTGTAAAACAGCGGCGCTCTCAATGTTACGTGGTAAATGAGGGTTGAAAACATGGTAGTGTAAAACATGCTTAGTACACGCAGTTTTACTGAAATAACGGAAGATTTGTGTTGGTAAGCTAGTGAAAGAATTAAGCGCAATGATGGAGGGTGGAGATTTGGTATATTTAGTGAAAAATAATTTTACTGAGCTGCGTTTACAGCAGCAACTCCGAATGAAATCTGATGGCAGGCCAACACCAAAACTAGAGCTCCGTGCTGAGAGGAAGAAACGTTTTCGGACTTTCAACGAGGAAAATGACGTCCGCAGTGAGCGGCTAGCTGGTAGCGCCAATCTTCAGCGGCTATTTTGCTGTCTCCTTTTTGACAAGGATTCCTGCTCTTTGAACAATACCTGGGTTACCACAGAATTCACCCACCTTGCTAACTTGTCTTGGGCAATTGAAAGACACGTGGTCACTGCGGTGGGAAACTGAAGCTGTTTGGACGCGTCAGGATTAATGAGGCGCTGGACTTTGCAAAAAGTCTGAGCACAAAGAAGCACAATGAGCAGGTGCAGAAAAAACAGGATATTTCAATGAGACTCATCGTTACCTTGTGCGCCAAGAACAAGCATTCTGGGGGCACAATGAGGCCGCTGGCAGTGCAAACGGGCAATTTTGTGGAGTCTGACAACACTCTTGTAGAGCACTTGGGCTCGTCAACAGTCTTCAGCGGTGTGTCAAACACCATACAAAATGACATCATTAAAGCATCGCTCACATTATCTGGGATGAGACTAATAAGAAATACGCCCCTTTCATTGCTCTACAAGTGGATGACACATCAGACATATCCAACAAGTGCCAACTCACTGTCATAATCAGATATGTAAATGAGAAAGGCAATGTGTGTGCGTGTGTGTGTCACACTTTTATGATGTCAGTGATGATCGAGATGCAGAAGCCATAACATCAGTTGTGATGACAGCCAACAAACTAATTTGTCAGACTTACGATGGCGTGAGCTGTATGAGTGGACAGCAGGCGGCGTGCAGGCTTTAGTGAATGTGCACCACCCCAACGTGTTATTCATCCACTGCTATGCACATAAGCTAAATTCGGTTTTAGTACA